GGGTCCCATCCAAGAGGAGCCCCACATGGACCTACGTTCTGTCCCCTTTTTTTTTTTTTTTTTTTAAACACAGTCCCTCCAGTGCTAGCGATGCTGTTTAGAGCAGACATCGCTAGCACCTGGGGAGAGGCTCCATCTATTGGTGGGGAGCATCACCTGCTGGAAAACGGGTCCAACGTCCCATACACAAATTGATGCAGTATGATGCATAGAAGAAAAACTGGATGGTGTCTAGAGGGTGCCTGCCAGCATTGATTGCTCTGGAAATCAGAGGATTGACTGGGCAGGTGTGAGCATGACCCGAATCATGGAACTAAGACCTGGTGGTCCTCGTCTCCTTCCCCAACCTTGTGCCTGGTCAGGGTACCGGGAGGAGCCACTGGGGGGCATCAGTGGTTATTCCTACCGTCACCCTGCCATCCCCCAAGAACACCTACCCTTCAACATTGACCTCCATCGGTCACACTCCCACACTGGCAGCGAAAGAACACCTACCCTTCAACACTGACCTCCGTCGGTCACACTCCCACACTGGCAGCGAATTTGGAGCAACATGGACTAAGGAAACAGACTGAGGCTGAATGACAAACACAGACTAAAATTGACTACAACACAAAACACAAGCTAAAAAGCAGAAAAACAGACGACAAAGGCAGACTGAAATGGCTAGACAGAGTGAAAAAGGACTGAATTAGAGCAGGTGGGGGTGGAAAGGAGGTGGTTGGGAATTGGGGGGGGGGACTCTTATCCCTGGTGCTGGCACCAGATTCTACTGTACTGAAAAAAACGAATTTCAGAGAGAACCTACCAAGTTACCAACTACAACAGTTCAGAAATGAAATAAAAAGACAAAGCAATGTAGAAAGATATGGTGCTCAATTCAAGATACTCCATCCATGCACTCATCAGGTGAGAAGGCAGTTTACATGCTCATGCACACAATCAAGACCATAGAGGAGTAGGAAAAGAAACCCGGAAACAATCCCAACAGGACTTCAATACCATGCACACATTCATGGGCATCCCGTAGGTGCACGGCACTTACTTGAGTGGCGAGCTTCGAGATGAAGTATCACTCACCCCCTCTTGTTTGGGCCCAGTCGCACTGGTCCCTATAGGTCCCACGTAGGCCATGACCGGGTCCCAACCAAGAGGAGTCCCACATGGACCTACTTTCTGTCCCCTACTGTACTGAAAAAAAAACGAATTTCAACTTCAGAGAGAACCTACCAAGTTACCAACTACAACAGTTCAGAAATGAAATACAAAGACAAAGCACTGTAGAAAGATATGGTGCTCAATTCAAGATACTCCATCCATCCACTCATCAGGTGAGAAGGCAGCTTACATGCTCATGCACACAATCAAGACCATAGAGTAGGAAAAGAAACCCTGAAACAATCCCAACAGGACTTCAATACCATGCACACATTCATGGGCATCCCGTAGGTGCACGACACTTACTTGAGTGGCGAGCTTCGAGATGAAGTATCACTCACCCCCTCTTGTTTGGGCCCAGTCCCACTGGTCCCTATAGGTCCCACGTAGGCCATGAGCGGGTTCCAACCAAGAGGAGTCCCACATGGACCTACTTTCTGTCCCCTACTGTACTGAAAGACGAATTTCAACTTCAGTGAGAACCTACCAACTACAACAGTTCAAAAATAAAAAGACAAAGCACTGTAGAAAGATATGGTGCTCAATTCAAGATACTCCATCCATCCACTCATCAGGTGAGAAGGCAGTTTACATGCTCATGCACACAATCAAGACCATAGAGGAGTACGAAAAGAAACCCGGAAACAATCCCAACAGGACTTCAATACCATGCACACATTCATGGGCATCCCGTAGGTGCTCGACACTTACCTGAGTGGCGAGCTTCAACATGAAGTATCAGTCACCCCCTCTCATATGGTCCTCCTGACCCAATCAACAACCTCTACACTAGTGCCCTATCACCTAGGAGGGTCTACCCTACCCCAAGGTACAACGCCGGATCCCCCGTTGACGTTGAAGACCAAAGTAGCAACTTTCAGTCCGTTGGTGTACATATGGCTGCAACCCTCGAGCTCGCGAACTTGAGGGGAGCCCTCAAGTCGCCCAATGTCCTCCTTGACGTCCAGATTCCAGTTGTAGGTGCCTCTCACTGTCGCCTCTCACAAATTGCGTAACGAAGCTCTTCCTTGTGTCTCGCCACCCCAAAATTACACTCTTGCAACCTGGCGGGGTCAAGTGCCGACCCTGCACGACCCTCCCAGGTGGGGGCAGCTTCCCTACACCTCGCTGCTCCACTTCCCTTCACGAACCAACCCTAACCCTAAGTGGTGCCCTCAAGCACTTAGGTTAGGGTTAGGGCAGCAAATTCAACTCTCGCCAGCAAGTAGAACCCGCTTCGCTACCAATGTTACGATCCTGGCCAATTGCGAAGTGCAAAATTCACGAGACAGCACGTCCAATTGCAAAAGAAATGAATGAACTTGAGAGGAGAGCGGGATAAAGAAGAAGAAGAAGGAGAAAGAAGGAAGACGAAGAAGATGTACACCAGCGAAAGACCGATGATAATCCCTCCTCTCCCAAACCAACTCTACCTCCTTATCGCCTTCACTGTTTGAAGACTACTAAAGGCCTGGCCCTGCTGTGCAAAAGACAACACAAAGCAGCTATGTCCGCTGCTGTTCAGGCCGCCATACCTGACTCTGCCTTGAAGCCTTCTTGGTGCGGCGCAACCCCCACTGGGGCCTTGCAGATGCAGCGGCTAACAAGGTGATGAAGATGGCGTCCACCATAGCCAGGTACGTGCCTCGCCACCCTCCTCCCTAGTCCCCTTCTTCCTTCTCCTACCGGTAGAGCTCCACCATAGCCGAGGCCTTCTTCCTCCTCCCAGTGCTCTTCCTTCCAGCGGCGCTCTGAATGCTAGCGCCCGCTCAAGCAGCATGACACCCAACCTTGCATACCACAAATGAGGTAGAGCCCAGCACTCTACCTGAAGATATAGCGGCCTACCTGCCTCTTGGACGGTGACTTCCAGGCCGTGAGGCGTCCAAGCAACCTGTACCTCCTCCCTTTCAGAGGGAAACATCATTGCAGGCTCTGATATCGTCCGCACAGGCCCTAGACTCAGGCTACTTGGACTGGTACCCGCCTAGACCTAACCTACCAGCTACCGGGCCTCTAAAAATGCGAACTTTTTGTCTTCTTCTGCTCAGCCTCCAGTTCACGACACATCTACAGCTGCTTGAGCGGAACCAGCCTACCCGCTACTTGAGTGTTTTTCCCCCCTGCTCTAAGTGTGGCAGGCCTACTCCTGCTACAGTGTTTTCCTTGCTGCAACCCTCAAAGTCACGGCCACAGGTAAGTACTGGCCCCGTTGGGCCTTCCGAACAAACAAGTGCCCTGGTGGGCCACACACACACTCAGACCAACAAGCACTCAGGCAGGCAGACGAACCAGCAAGTACGCACACACACAGACATAGAAAACTCGGCAGAATGGGGAGTCTCAGCATGACATTCATTCCAGCGGCAAAACTCAGAAATCAGCCGTGTTCTCAGTCTGTGTTTTGGTGGGTCATTACACATAAAAAATAAAGAATTATAGGATACATCCGTGCCTCTGCTTATCATCATCATCACCGCTCGTAACCATTTTTTCTCTTCTTCATTTTTTGAAAACGACTTCACTGTCGTATTTCCCATGTCCTCCTTGTCGTCACCATCGACGTTGCCCATCGCCGTCATGTCAGTCATTCTCATCGTTGTGTGTGCCTGTGTGCATCTGGATGTGTGTGTGCATGTGTGTGTCTGCACCGTTGTCGCCATGCCACCATCTCCGACTTTAAGACCACCGTTCCACAAAATTCCCCATCTTTCCCGCTCGCCTAGATCCATGCACCCTCCCCGAACAAAAAATCGAAACTTCCTGAGTGTGGGCCCCCCAAAACAAAAACAAGAAACTTCCCGAGCGTGGGGACATGATGAGTCAGATGAGGTTGTTTCCGATTTTTTCTGGGCCCAGGCGAAGTGTTACGTGTGGCCATGTTATTATTATTATTATTGTGAATATGAAGTTGGGGGAGTAATTGGAGGTTGGAGATGGTGGCGAGATGAAAGGGGATTGACATTGGTCTTTGCTGGTGTTCATCTTCTTCTACTTCCATTCTTATTTCTTCTTCTACTTCCATTCATCTCATTTGTAATTGAAAGGCATAGTCTTTGTTTGGGTTGTTGCACTTCAAGATAGCCAGGATCATAACAACTGGTTCATATTAATTGGACAACGCACACTGCACTCATAATCTATCTTGGTGAGAGCATGTGCTACACAGCCCCTAACATTATGGTATATATCTGATGACCTTCAGGATTTACCAAAAGTTAACCTGTTTGTAGTATTTAACCACATGGGCTGGGATGATACACTCTTTTCCAACAAGTCAACAAAACTACCCCTGTTCAAAGCCCTTTTACAAGATCTGCCTCAAATATAGAACCGTCACTCCGACCTGTCACCAGGCTAAATGAGTTACAGGTCATCGGGGCACATTCTGAGTCGGGCTGCAATGCAAATCAGTCTCATCCATGGGAACAAAGGAGGAGGAAATGAGGCTTTATACCCTTCCCTTAGTCGATAAATTTTTGCGTGGTGTGGACATGTCGGCACATGCATCTCTGTAATGCTGATGTACATCCATGCATGGCTACTCTGACCCGAGGTGGTTGATTCATGCATGAGAGGGTAGAGGGTTCTGATATACACTTCCGCATCCCACTGCCTAATCTCTACACTGGAAATGCGTGCTTGGAACATTACTACCCTGCCATTACCCACCTTGGGTGGGCCAAAAGCAAAAATTCAAGACCCAGATCAAACATCCAAAGGCAGCCACAGATTACCATACAGATCACCTGGTCACATCCCATACAAATAGCAACTGACCATGCGATAAAAATAGCACCCACAGGTTAGACAGATCCACAGTGGTGTCTCCACTTCCTGACCTTAATTAGCTCTGGAAGTCCTTGCCGCGATCTGCTCGACAATTTCTTCACTGCAACATATGTCTGCGCCGTTGGTGAAGTCTTTATCATGCCCTTGTACACTGCCCCAAAACCACCCTCACCTATTTTGACAGACAAGTTTCTGGTGGCTTTCCTTATCTCCTCATCAGTAAAACTCCTTAGACTGCTTGTGTCTAGCAAGGGTCCGTCTGGAAGTGTTTCAGACAAACTATATCCTGCAAGAGATTCAGATTCGGTTGTTCATCAGAATCTTCGGATCATCAGGACACTTTTGCACATGAAACATCAGAGCGCATGGACTTGTAAGTAGTGGTCAGCTAAGCACGAAACTGAATGAACAGGTCTGACGTCAACATAGACCCATAAAAATAGAGAATAACTTCATCTAAGGTTCTTTTTAAATTTTTATATTTTATTCAAGAATCTAGTCCATCTCGTTCCAGCTGGGGTCTAACTCGAGTCTCTATTTGAACAATTATGTGCAACAACTGAGCTAGACCAGTTGGTACTTCTAGGATTTTAGGGGGTAAAAATGGAAAAAAAGGACACAAACAATCGGCCAGGACACAGGACATACAACCGAAAAGGGGCATACATCTACATGAAAGAGGAAAGAAGCATCCCAGAATAGTGGCAATGCAATACAAGTAAACAATCTGAAAAAATACACAAGTGGACCCTGCACCTCAGCAGGAGACACACATTGAAACAAAGATAAGAGTTCCGCCTATAGCTGCTGACCAGCGTGATTGACTCTCTCTCTCTCTCTCTCTCTCTCTCTCTCTCTCTCTCTCTCTCTCTCTCCCCCCTCTGCGGGTGGGGCATGGATTATGCTGACAACATTTACTGACTGATTGATTGATTTGCTATCATGACTCTTCTTTTTTTGGTGTCAAACATTCATAACGGTATAACGTGATGACATGCTTTGGCTGTGGCTGATTCTGTCTGAAAATCATGAATCACGCAGAGCAGGAGCATGTGGTCATGACTGTCATGAGGGCACTCCCTCAGCAACTGAGCCCACTGGTGCTGAGTGACACAACTCTCTCTCTCTCTCTCTCTCTCTCTCTCTCTCTCTCTCTCTCTCTCTCTCTCTCTCTCTCTCTCTCTGTGTGTGTGTGTGTGTGTGTGTGTGTGTGTGTGTGTGTGTGCCAATATATGTAGAGTGAGAGCCATCTATGTATATAGACAAGCAGGTGCAGCCGGCGCAGCTCCCCCCGCGAAAAAAGTCAGGAAGCAACCCCAATGAAGAATCTCACTTCGCTCTTTCTGTCTCTGACTCTATGTTTTCTTTGTTAGTGTATGGCTGGTGCTTTCTGTATCACTGTTTTAGCTCTTGGCGTCTTCTGTCTTTCTAAGTGTTTGTGGAAAGCAGAATAGTAAACAGCAATAGTCACAAACAGCAAGGTCATACACGGTCACAAACAGAATAGTAAACAGCAACAAATCTTCAACGATTCGAAGAACATTATCATCGTCACCGAGAAAGACTAGAAAACAGAATCGCTAAACCTAAAATAAACCCGCCACAAACACCATCCACATATTCAATTTCACCCATTCGATTAACAAAAGGTCAAGTTATGTTGACCGGTCACACCGCCCTCAGATCTCTCTCTCTCTCTCTCTCTCTCTCTCTCTCTCTCTCTCTCTCTCTCTCTCTATATATATATATATATATATATATAT